AGACGAGCGTTAGAGCATCCAGAATATGGGAGATAATCGGGAGACAAATGGAAGACAAGTGAGAGATAAATGAGTATGACGTATAGAACCAAGGGTCCCAGACGAGCATTAGAGCATCCAGAATGGGGGAGGCCGCCTGTGTTCAAGGCGCCGCGGCCCCCATAACGGACGGTGAGCTCGATCTTGGAGGGCCAGGCTGGCAGCGATATGCAGCTCTCGTACTTCACACTTCCTTTCGAAACCGCGAGTTGCTCCCAGCCTCGACTCCTTCAACTCGTGCTCTCCTTCACTCCCAGTCCGCCCGGATATGGGTATGGGACTTGCGGTCATCCCTTCCGATTGAGCTTCGAGCCTCACGCTCATGCACGTGGCAATGAAGCGCCGCCTTCGGCTGCCCTTGCCCATTACAAGCCGGCGCTGCGGCGCGGAAGGCCGTCATAGCTGTGGGGCGGAGGTCGATACCTCCCGGAGGGCCGGCTTATCCCGTAGCCCACTATTGTGCCACAAGTCCGCACCGACGATCGTCGCCGCCTCGATTTCGTCGTCTATGGGGCGACCACGCATGGCGAGGCTTTGTGCTACGACACAACCCTAATCTCCCCACTTAGCCGCGCTGGCCACCCAATTTCGGGAGCCGACGCACGGGCGGGAGTCGTGCTTCTTGGGGCGCGCCGGCACGAAATCGCGCGATACCTGTGGAGGGCCTCAGCGGCTCGTTATCCTCGCTGCTGACGTCGGGGGGCGGGGGAGTGACGAGTGCCAGTAGTTTCTCCTCTTCTTGCTCCGGCTCCGGGTCCAACGTCGCTTTTGGGGGGTGGGTGCTGTCGATAGCCCTACAACGAGCCGTCGCCAGCTCTGCGCTTGGAGTATGGATCATACCGCCGCTACCTAGTGCACTAAATATGCTTCCGCTCGGCGACGTGCTTGCATTCGCGAGCGCGAGCGTCCATAATCGTTTACTGCTTCGCTAGCATTCCATAATTATTAAATAATTCCGACGACACGAAGATAATTTATCCAGACGCAAAAAAAAATACCAAAAATAAAAGAAATTCTAGAATCTTCAGATATTTTGAAATCGAATAAGAAATTAAGTCCGAATCTATATATTATCTTTACATATAATTTGAGAGCGCGCCGTGCCCAGAAAATATCTTTTAATTTAAAATATTATTATGAATATCGAAAATTATATTTTTGAGCTAAAATATCATAAACTTCATTTTTTAATTCTATATCATATAATTAATAATTCTAATCTAAATTCCTTAATTTATTATATTATCTATATATCTCCATAATCGCCTATATCTAATGTAATCAATATTAATGATATGAGAAATACCAATATGTCTTATAAGTGAAAACAAATAATTGAGATTGAGAATAAATTGATAAAAATTATAAAATTCGCAGCCAAAGGCTTGCGCCGAGGTTTTTGCACCTAACGGGTATTGCAAGTTAGGCCAGCTAGAACTCTGCGAAGCCTGCGCCTGAGAATGATTGGAAACTCTGCGAGAACCCCGGGAAGCCATATCCCCAACTGGTGGGAAGCATGACCGCCCTAAGGCTCCGTCAGACTTGCGAACCTGTGCATCAATGCCAAATCAATGCCATCCAGTTCAGGCCAAACAACATCCGACACCAAAAGATACACCGCAACAAAAGCACTGATGCACTTCGGGGAGAAGTGTCTCGAAATTTGGAGATTCAAAGCTACGGTCAGACAGCTACAAAACAGTCGGCTCGGTGACAGTGATAGCGTCACACGAAGATGCTTGCAGCAGCAGAAACAGGCATGCCCTGCGAGCCCCCATTCAGCCCATGGGGTGCTACTGTCACTGCATTGCCATGCGAGCACGGCCACAACGCACCCGCTTCTCAAGGTCTTCCGGTGAGGAACTGATGTTCTTCAGAGACTTTTCCAACCTGAGAAAACGCACGCCGCAAGCTTCGCGTGGCAAGGCTAACAGCTGTGCAAGGACGCAAGGCGGTCAAGAGACTCTTCCACGTAGCCGCTGTGCGTCTTCAATGCCGGCAGCCCGTGGCCATCGCTGTCGCGCTCCATGGACTTGAAGCTGAGCCGTGGCTCCTCGGCAACCGTTCTGGAGGCACGGACATA